TCATTGATTTCTTGTCACCTAAATTTTTAAAACCTTAGGTTATGCTCATTGGAATTCTGTTAGATTTATTCAGGCATGTACACTGAATGTAACACTCCTGGGGCTTATCTTTTAAAGTGAGAGAGTAAGGTTTTCTTTAAATGCATTGGTGTTCTTTGTTTTGCTTGGATTCCTTTCACCCAGGACTGCCCTGTGCCTGTTCTACCTGTTCTCTTCTACTGCTTCCTGTTGCAGCCTCTCTTGGATGAAAGGTCTGCAGGTCCACGTGGCGTTTTCTGAGGCGTTGGCACCCAGTGTGCAGACTTCAGAATAGGTGCAGGGGTGATAACTGCGCCAGGTAGCTGCTCAGCCCACGGGTCGTACGGTGGATCTCAGGCCCTGAGAGGTGACAAGTGCAGTATGTTAAGACTGTGTGGTGGGTCTTGCCTGCTTCTCAGTCTCTGCCCCTGAGACAGTGGCTGTCACCTGAGCCTCTAGCAGTCCTGCTCTGGCTGTGGGTTCCGCTGTCCACATCAGCCACTCCCTTGCTTAAAACGCCTCACCTCCTGGGACCCTTTGCAACTCCCATGGAACTGAACATGGGTGCAGTCTCTTTGCAGTCAATGACAAAGTTAAGAAAGAGGCTAACGTACTCGTAACTGGATGGGACAAATGAACGCCAGTAGCATTTATTTCGGTTTGATAATGACCTTCGGGCCAGGGGTGTGAAAAGTCTCTGGAAAGAATTGGCCCTGTTCACTGGTCCTGTCCTGCTCGTTGGTATTTCATTAAGAAAAAGTCCAAGTGAGGGAGCAGGACTTCAGAGTCGGCAAGACGGAGTTTTAATCTGACCTCTGTGACTGGGTAAATTATGTATCTTCAGAGGACTCAGTTTCCTAATGGAAATAAACACTGTTCTCTGAGAGCCTGGTAGTTGTCAGATTGTTTTGTTTTTGATACAAGGTCTTCCTTTGTAGTCCAGGGTGGCCTTGAATTTGTGATCCTCCTGCTTCCGTCTGGAGAGTGCTGGGATTACAGGCGTGTGCCATGACATCAGGCTTTGTTTACCTTTATGAGTTAATATGTTATCTCCCATTCTGTTTTTCCTTTTATTTTTTCTAGTTGGTTAATTTAAATGGCACTTTAAAAAAATTCAATAGTGACAATTTGCTGCCACCTACAGGCCAATTTGAAAAAAGCAGAATATGTCCTTACCAACTTTTCTTAGAGGCTAAACGTAAAATTGAGTCATCTTGGAGTCACCTGTGGACAAATTCAGCATCCTCTGCCTGAGAAATTTCTTTCTGTTGGTAGTCTAACAATATTTGAATAGTAAAAGCTGAATATTTTTTATCTGAAATTCCTGGGACAAAATATATTAGAGATTTTCAAGGTTTTTTTTATTTTTTTAAATTTGGGAATAGTTGCATATAGCTTTTACGCATTGACCATGCTTAATTCGAAAAATCCAAAATTTAAAATGCTACAAAATCTTAATAGTTTTGAATTAGGGATGCTCAGCGTGTGTCAGAATCCCCTTATATTCTTTTTAGCATTAGGCATCCACTGCAAGGCACTGTTGGTAGTTAGATATTGTATTTTTCCCTGTTTAAAGTAGATTTGAAAAATGGTGTTTATTAAAAAGCATGAAAAAGTCTTTATTATTGAAAATGTGCTTTAGAACCTGAATTTTTGGGCCTTGTTTTGGTTTTGGGTCTTGTGGTAGTTGAGAACTTGGGAGTGCTGAGCAAAATCTTAAACTAGATGATGCTGTTATAATTCTGGTCACGAGGCCTTGCTTTATTGTTACTGTGTGCTCATCTCCTGCCCGCTGTCTCATAAGCCCTTGTCACACCATCTGATACAAGGGTGCTTTTACAAGCACACAGTGATCCCTGAAATGGGCCTGACAGGAGAGGTCCGGGACCTTGTTCTCACATTTGCTTCAGCTGGACTTAAGAGTAAGAGTTGCCCGTGCTAGTGGGTCCGGTAAGGCTGTGTGCTCAGCGAAGGGGCTGAGCTTTGTTTTTAAAAATGATAAGGAACCACTACAAACTTTGAAGCTGGCGACGACATGATCAGAATTTTATTGTGGGAATATTACTTGGGGAATCCATTCAAGAAATGTTAGAGGCAATATACAGGAATAGATGTGCTTAGCGCTTTCCTGCCTTCTGACCACACTGTCCAAGGGTGTCTTTGCATTTGAGAATTCAGTTAGACTGTGTGTCAGCCCTGCTCATGTTTTTTTGAATTTTTTGGTATTACTTCTGTGCCTTTAATAATTCTGCAGGCAGTGTCCAGCTAGATTCTGTTTGGGTGCCATCATGCCCCTGATTACTGTTGTCCTTCACTCCTTTCACACACTTAATGTACACCGGCTCTTGTGCCGAGGCCCTTGGCAGCGTGTGTATGGTGCATGTACACACGACGCCCTTGGCTCCTGTCCTCATGGCTGCTGTGGCACTGGCAGCTTGTTCACCAGAGTGGCTCCCCTCCTCCTCCTGCTGCCTCCCCACGGCCCCTCGTCTGCTGCCTGGCGTTGTGGCTGGGATGGCCCCTGCTAGTACTGCTGCAGCAACCCCTCTCAGCCATGATTGGTGACTGGGCAAGGTGTACGGGACAACTGCAGCAGCTGAGACAGTCCCTGTCAGAAAGAGGAGGAGGCCCTCCCTAGGTCTCTGTTGCAAGAACCTGAAAGAGAATAATGGAATCTGAAGGGTACAGTAGACACTGGAAAAAGGGAATGAACTTATTCAAGAGGAAAGAGTTACAGAGTTGAGAAGGACAGGAGAGGGAGTAGGGGAAAGAGATTTATCTGTGTATATAAGCAGGATGATTTGAACAAATGTACTGTGCATTTCTGCTGGTCTGTGGAAAGAAGCAGTTAATGCTTCAATTTGTGTCCATCTTCTTTTTTCAATTGTTTATGCTTTTTCTTTTTTTAATTTCTTATACTTTTTTTCTTCTTTCAATTTTACATGCTTGGGGCCAGGGAGATGGCTCAGTGGAATAAGAGCGTCCCTGGCAAGCGCAAGGGCCTGAGATCAGTCCCCGGTTCTGCAAAACAAAAAACAAAAAATCAATTTTACATGCTTATATCTGGTAATGTGAATAACTGGTTGGGAGACAACACTATTTATTACAACAAATACTGTGAAATTCATATTATTTTTTAAGTGAAATTCTGTATCACTTGTAAATTTTTGTTTTAATTCTAATTTTTACTCTTTAAAAAGAAAATTTGTTGCAAGAAGTGACAGCAAAATCCTCAATCTGTGATGTGGGGAAGGGATGGGGACCTATCACACACTTGCCTCAGGTTTGTGGTTTAAGAGGGTGCCCAGGGCTGGCGAGATAGCTCAGCAGTCTAAAGCACCTGCTTAGGCAAGTGCAGGGAACGTGGTTTGATCCCTGGCACATATGCCATGCCAGCCTCACCCCCAGGACAGGCTGAGCTGGCCACAAAAAAAAGAGGATGCTCAAATGCTCAGTAACATGGTCTTAAAAAGTTAAAATTAATACCGAAAAAAAAAAATCCATGACAGAATGTTAAAGGTTTAAAGACAAAATTAGTGACATTGTTGTCCACATAGAGCCATTTGGGAGTCTAAGGCAAAAGGAAAAACCAGCACTTACTGATCATACCTATTTAAAAATTTTGGTATTTTGTCCATTGTGGATTCCTTGAACTAACTTTGATTTTTAAAACTATATTGAAATATTGAATTTTTGGTTCCCTCTTCCATTGTATATCCAAGGTTTGGGGGCCTCACTGTCCTCTCCTTAGCCTTGTGGGTGTGGGTTGGGCAGGAATCGGGGGAATGCTGAGGGGCTGCCACCTTCCATGCTCCTCCCCAAGACCTCTTTGCTGTGGGCTTTGTCACCAGGGAGGAGTACACAAGTTTGGTCTTCAAGAATGTGGGAGGTAGAGATCTGGTAGAGGAAAAAGAATGTGGAAGGCCTCTGTTGGATGTGTCTCATATATGAACATTAAGTTCTTTTTGAAGGAATCTGGATGAGATGATAGTTTTAATAAAAGCTGCCACCAGAAGACGTTTCACTGGTAGAGATCTGGATTAGAGGACAGGAGCAAGAGGAGGACACTAATTTGTTTTATACAATAGAACTTACAAGTACAGAGGCAGAGGCAGGGTGTGAGATGCTAGAGTTTGAATACCTTCTCAGGGCTCTACTTCTGAGTGTTTCCAACACTTACTCTTGATTCTGGGCTGGGGAGATAGCTTGGCAATCTAAGCGCCTGCTTGGCAAGTGCAAGGACTTTGGGTTAGATCCCAGGTACCACATGCTGTGCCAGCCCTGGAATCCCAGACCATGTTGCACCAGCCAAAAACTGGATGTGGTGGTGCATACCTGTAATCCCAGCACTGGTGAGGCTGAGACAGGAGGATCACTAGAGTCCAAGCTGCGTAGTGAGACCCTGTACCAAATACTTAAATAAGTTTATTTTTTAAAAAAAAGAATGTGGAAGGTCTCTGTTGGATGTGTCTCATATATAAACATTAAGTTCTTTTTGAAGGAATCTGGATGAGATGATAATTTTAATAAAAGCTACCAGAAGGTGTTTCCTGCCGTGTTAAATAAGAGATATGACACAGTTTCTTTTGAGTAGTTTGTGCCATGGTTGTTCCTTTACTTCAGTTGCTAAATATGGGTTGATCCCTTTGGGGTCTCCCTGGGCTGTTTTATGCTGATCTGTTCAGGCAGCTTTTTAAAGGTTGATCTTGGTGAGATCCATTCTTGCCCGCTCTTGCTCTGTTGTAACCGTATGGTAGCTGAGGGGAGGTGAGCAGAAGCTGACAGAAGGCAGGGTAGTTTCAGAATTCCTACTAGAGTCTGAGGTTGTAGTTTTCACTGGTTAGCCTGGACCTGTCGTCCCTGCCTGTGAGAGCCAGTCACCCAGAAAAGGGTGTTAGGCAGGTACAGTCTGGCTGGGACAGGGGGGCAACTGATGGCAAATTTTACTTCACTTTAATAGACTTTTGTTTTTAATTGTCAAGGTTTGCTGAGGACAGATGCAGTACCTGAAGAAGGAGAAGATGCGGCAGCCACCCTCAGCACCACCGAGACGCTCTCAGAAGAGGAGCAGGAGGAGCTGAGAAGAGAGCTGGCAAAGGTACAGGATGGGGCCTGTGAGAGCTTCAGGTTCTAAACTTGAAATGGAGCATGAGTTGTTTCCAAAGCGAGTGGGAATGGCTGGTGGTCACTTCTGGGGAGAAGGTGCTGGTGTTCACTGATAGAGATCTGGATTAGAGGACAGAAGCAAGAGGAGGGTGACACCAATCTGTTTTATGCAATAGAACTTACAATACAGAGGCAGAGGCAGCGTGTGGGATATAGGAGTATGAGCGCCTTCTCAGGGCTCTACTTCTGAGTGTCTCCAACACTTACTCTTGATTCTGTCCTGGCCTGGGTTCTGGAGGTTTGGTCAGTCGGTCGGTTGGTCGGTCAGTCAGTCGGTCTGTCTGTCTGTCTGTCTGTTCATCTGTTCTTCCCAGCTCAGCCCACTCTGGGTGGGGCCTGGTACCACACGTGGTGTCAGGGATCGATCTGCTGTCCCTGCATACCTGCCTGAACTCGCCGAGGCAGGTGCTTTAGACTGCTATCTCATTGCCCTCTGGAGGTACTTTGGCACCTCTCACCTCCTCCCTTTCTCCTTCCCTCCCTCCCTTTCTTCTTTCTTTTCAACCAACTTCTGCTCAGGTGCCTACCTGACCTCTAGCTCCCTCTTCCTAACTCCCATGTGTTAAATTCACATAACATAAAATCAACCACATGAAAGTGTGCAGTTCAGTGGCACTGAGCAGATTCTGTGTTGCGCAGCCATAACCACTTTCAAGCTGCATATACTTGCTTCACTTCTGAAGCCGACCCTCCTGCTCATTAAATAGTCACTCACTTCTCCATCCCTCTCTCTCAGCCCCTGGCAACAGCTGATGTGCCCTCACTGGTTCTTCATCTCCTCCCCTCCCTCCCTACTTGCTCCCTCCCTGCCCCTCCCCCCTTTTTTCTCTCTTTTCTCCTAGGAATTGAACACTGAACCCAGGACTTTCACACTGAGCTACATTCCCACTCTTTTTTCTTTATATTTTTTTTGAGACAGTCTTGCTAAATTCTTAAGTTGCCCAAGCTGCTCCTGAGCTAGCAGAATTCTGTCTCCCAGAATTCTGGGATTATAGGTGTGTGCCACCATAATAGGCTTCTTGTCTCTATGAATTTAAGGATTTTCTGGATATTTCTTCTTAGTGGAATCTCACAGTATAGGATCTTTTAAGTCTGGCTTTTTTCATTTGTGTTTTCAACGTTTATCCGTACTGTAGCATGGATCAGTAGTTCATTCCATTTTGGGGCTAAGTAACACCCCCTACTATAGGTAGATAGATGGATGGATGGATGGATGGATGGATGGATGGATGGATAGATAGATATAGATAGATAGATAGATAGTGTAGGGTCTATAGAGTCTCACTACACAGATCAAGACTCGTAGTGATTCTCATGTTTTCAGCCTCCCAAGCGCTGGAATTACAGGTGTGCACCCCCACTCCCAGTCTTAAATGCCATCTCAGCATGCCCTGGGGGTAGGGCCAGCACAGCACGCTGGGGATTGAACCATGGTCCCTGCATCTGCCTAAGCAGGTGCTTTAATCCACTGAGCTATTTGGCCGGTCCTGTATTTTTGTTTTTTAATCCATCCATTGATGGATATTTGAGTGATTTCTACCTTTTGTCTGTTGTGGACAGTGGGCTTACAACATTTATGTACAGATACTTGTTTGAACACTTGTCTTCAAGTGGAACTACTTTAGCTTGTCCGTCCATATTTAACTTTTTTTTTTTTTGGGGGGGAGTTCCACAGCAGTGACATCATTTTACAATACTGTCAGTAATTTCTTCGTGCCCGTGGCATCAGCCAGTAGATTGAAAAGTTGAGTCTGAAAACTTGTTTCAGAATTCCGATTCCTACATTGTTTGATAACTTAGGTAAAGTTACTCAGTTTACTCATTTCTGAAATCCATTCCTCAGTGCTTGCCTTTTGCTTCTCATATTCTGCTTCATCAGTGTACAATTTAAAATGGGGCCTGTAGAAGGACTTGCAGTCCTCTCTGGTAAGCAGAGAACATAATGTCTGTTCTGGACCTACCTTCCACCTAGTGGTGGCTGTAAGCTAGGCTGCTTTTTTTTTCCCTTTCTTTTTGCAGTTGCATCACGTTTGGTTTGCCTCCCTTTGATGAGCTCTGCATTTCTTCTTTTATGTTCTCTAACGATTTACTTAGCAGTGAAAACAGTTGACTTAGCAATACTCTGCCTGTTAGTTTTAAAGGTCACGTCGTCTTTGAGATCACAGAAATGTTGTCTAGGTCAGGGCTGAGAATATGGCTTTGTGCTGAGCCAAAGGAAGCTTTTCTGTAAGGGTCTTGAATATTAATGAGTGTACCATAGGGATTCAATGCTTCCGCTTCCTGGCACAAAACATCTCTTCCAGCATGGAGTCGTCTCCCTCTGTGAACTTGCCCTTTCCATCTTCCTGGTTTAGCTTTTTCTTCTACTGAATTTTTCTCTTTTTCTTCAGAGCATCTGCTCACAGTTTTGGCATCTACAGCTCATAATCTCACTGTTGCGCAACTGTATACCTCACGGCTTTGTTCTCTAAGTCCTCCCAGTGTTACTTGGGTTCCTCAATCCGGGCCTCTGGGTGAGAGTGGCTGTCATTGCTTTGTGGTTTCAGTGCGTGGCTGTCCTTGGGTCAGGGCCCACCAGGACCTCTGCAGGGCTCTGTGGGGGAGGTCATTTAATCTGTTTTGGTGATGCTTTTGGCAGGCCCTGGGAATGACCACATCAAGTATAAACTCATGAAATATAGATGGAAGGTCAGCTTTTGGTTGGGTTGGTGGTGCATGTTTTGGTGGGGAATGGAGATTATTTTGATTTAGTAGACAAACATGAGTTTAGTTGGTGTGCGTGTAGAGTAGAAATGTCTAGTTGGAAAGTTGGATCAGTGGCAATTTGAGAATTATTCATGGAAAGAATTCAAGCCCCAAACCTCTATGGGAGAATTGGCCAAGGATAACTCAGAGGATATAAAGCACTACCACGGGAGAGAAAAGCTCTGTAGGAGGAGTGAGCGGGTAACAGTTTATTAATGATACTGCATCTGTAGAGGGACAGATAAATCAAAAAATATTTAAGTGACTACAAAATTGAGTATTGCTTTGCTCCAGAAACCTACACTGAATGACTCAGTGTATATTTACTGTACATTTCTTCCTCATAGGTGGAAGAAGAAATCCAGACTCTATCTCAAGTGTTAGCAGCAAAAGAGAAGCATCTAGCAGAGATCAAACGGAAACTTGGGATCGGTTCACTACAGGAGCTAAAGCAGAACATTGCCAAAGGGTGGCAGGATGTGACGGCCACGTCAGCGTATGTTCCCCCAATCGTACATTTTTATAGATAACATGAAGGACAGTTTTGCATGTTTTCTTTGGGAAGGGAGAGCTAGAGGGCTAAGAATTCTTCTATAACTTTTCTTTTAATCACATAGTACATTTTCTGTGCAACTGTCAAATACAGCTGATTCTTTTCTAACTTTTTTTAAAAAGACTGTTCTAAAGTTAAAAGAAACAGAATTCAAGTTTTAGAAATGTTATAGAGTAGGCCCCTTTACCAGTTTCTCTTTGTGCAATTTGTTTCTGCAGTCAACTATGAGCTAAGAATATTAAGTGGAAAATCCTAGAAACAAATAGTTTAAAAGCTTAAAATTGCATGCCACGATGAGTAGTGTGGTTAACCTTGCTGATTCCCTTGCACCTAGCTGGGGACATAAACTGCCCCTTTCTCTGTTGTGTGTAGACTGCATAAATTACCTACCTTCAGTCATTTAGTAGCCATGAAAGAGGAAATAGGATTCCATGAGGTTTGGTGAGATCTTCAGTCCGAGGCAACCTCGGTGGTCTTGGAATACCTACCTGATGCGTTAATGAATATTGAGTATTGAATAATGCATGTTCAATTTCCATATCCAGACACTGTGTCATTTAGTCCTCAGAATAACTCAGTAAAATGCAGGGTGGGAGAAACCTAAATGACCATAATGCACTCAGGTAAGTGAAGTGTTGAGGTCACAGACTTTCTTGCAACGTGGAGCCTTATTTGCGGCAGGATCTTGCTGTGTATTACGGGCTGGTCTTGAACTCGCTGTGTAGCTCCGACTGGCCTCAAATCACACAACCAGTGATACAACTAGAGCATAGTGCAAGTTTATTCCTGGCACAAGCAGGAGCAAACTTCTAGCATCAGACCCCAACTGCTCTGTTCTGTGCAGAGGCCAGCACTGAGTTGCCGAGCTGGAGTTGTTTGCAGCTTGGCCCCAGCAGTGAGGCCACCTGCATGCTGCCTGGGCCTGGTTTCCTCATGGTCGCAATGGGAAAGTAGGAAGCAGATCTTTGACTCTTTCATCACAATGTTTGTTCCTGGCATTTGGTCTTGGTGGGGAAAAAAATGCTTGAACGTCCACTTCCACAGTGGGGAAGGGTGGCCTTTTTTGGTATGTTCTGCATTCTTTTTTTTGTCTTTAGGCAGCTGGAAAGAGGGGAACAGTAATTTATACCTTTCTGTTAAAGCAGATATTCCCCAGAGTCATTTTAAGTACTGTACCTTAAACATACTCTGTTGACAGTGCAGTAGGTCCTTATTTGGTAGCCTTGCACACAGGCAAAGCTTAAGTTTTGTTTGGTTATGTGGAAAAGGAAGAGAAGGTATAATTTCTTTCAGTCACTCCCCGCACCCCCAGCACTGGGTTGAATCCAGCGGCTCACGGGTGCTAGGCAAGCACTCTGTCACTTATAAAAAAATGGATACAGGCAATTTATTTTGAGACTGGGTCTTGCTAAGCTGGCATCAAACATGGAATTATTTTGCCTCAGCCTTTCAAGCAGCTAGGATGAGTGGTGTGCACTAGCACACCTGGTTCATTTTCATTTTTTGTCCCATGACTTTTTTTTTTTTTTTTTAAGTTCTTTCTTTGTCTTTATGGACCTCTGTCTTTCCATCTCAATTAGGGCACTGCAAAAGGTTGCCTAGATGATGGCTTAACATAAGATGATGTGATTGTTGCAGCTTTGTTGTTGCTTTGGTGGTTGTGAAGGGTTCATTCATTCATTCATTCATTCATGTGGTCTTGGGGATTGAGCTCAATAGATATAAACACTGAGCTACATCTCCATCGCTGTTTTATTTTTCACCTTGAGACAGGGTTTTGCCAAGTTGTTCAGGCTGGGTCTTGCACTGACAGTCCTCCTGCTTCAGCCTGCCTAGTGCTAAGCATTTTAGTCATGTGCTACTATAGCCCAGGAAAATATTTTAGGGAGTTCTCCAAAGGGGATAACTACTGCACTTAAAATGATGGATATTATAAAATGTTAGCAAAAACAAAAACAAAAAACCCAGCTGACTTTTCTTTTTCTCTGTTCATTTCTAATTAAATACAGATACAGGAAGACCTCTGAAACATTATCGCAGGCTGGACAGAAGGCTTCAGCAGCCTTTTCATCTGTTGGCTCTGTCATCACCAAAAAGCTGGAAGATGTAAAGTATGTCTGTATTTTCTTTGCTAGCTAAGAGGCTGAGGCATATTGAAACACTGGTGTGGTTGCTATGTTTCCTGATTTTGGTCAGGGGTACACTGGATTTGCTGTCAGACTGAGAAGGGGGATGCTCCGTCCAGTTGGGTCCTGAAATGGTTGCCTAGATCACTGTAGGCATAGCATTCTAACATCAAAAATCATAAAGGTTGTGGGAAAACTGTGGTTGCAAAACTTTAGTTTTTGTAGTCCTGATCATACAGGGTAAGTATATATCCCTGGTGGTGGGAAACATGTGATTCTGGGCAGAGCCTGGCATCTTTCTGGGGATAAGATAAAAATCAATGATGTGCATGCCTGGATGGAGACCTGGCTTCACTTTCTGTATGTATCTGACAGCTTTAGCCCGTGGTGTGATTATGACATGCTTATGTATGTACACACTGGTTTGTACTAACCTATGAGCTCTACTGACATTCATGCCTAGGCCTGAGTCTTAATTTTGAGTTACTGCTTTTATTTTCCATTTGTATTTTAGATTAGTTTGTGGGGTTTTCCCTGTTGTTATTTTGATAAAGCCACTTCATAGTGCTTTTTGCTTCCCTCCACCCACGTGGATTAGAAGAGTGCTAAAAACAAGTGTGGTTTAAATCAGCTGTGCTTCTGTTGGCATGCAAAATTTGTGGTTAAGAAAAAAAAAAAAAGCTCAGATTGCATGACTTTGTGTTTTACATTCATGGGGAAAGTAGATTCTACAACCAAAACTTCAGTAGCCTTGGGTTTGGTTGGTGTAATGTATGTCATACCACAGGGGCTGAATTTTTGCTAGTTATATTTGTAGTATAATTCTAAGTGTAATATAACTAGTTTGCTCAAACCTTTTTGACAGCTACATACACACATCTGTTAGGTGCTTTTTCTTTTTGTGCTGACTGAATGACATACCACTTTAGGGCCCAGGTAAAACTTGTGGCTTTGAAAAAGTCGGTTATTGTTTTAGATTTATCAGAACTTCCTTTCTTTTTAATGCTTACTCTGCCTTCTTACAGATTGCAGGCCTTTTCGCATTCCTTTAGGTAAGGAGAGTTCAAACCATCGCTGCAGCCTAGCAATTGTGTGAGACAAGTGTGCTAAGCGTAGATGATTTTCAGATGGTCGTGTCTGTCACTGCATCAGTGCTTTCCTTGCATTTGGAGTATCTTTTTCTCTAATGCATTTTTAATTTCAAGGGAGGGTTTCTTGTATACCATGAGTAATGGATAAATTAAAAGAAGGATTTGACACTGATTCAAGGGGTATGGAAATGATTTTTAAGTTTCTTTTTAATTTTTTTTTGTAAAAAAAGACGCAGCTTTACCATGGCATGCAGAATTCCTCCCTTTTAATGTCTGACTTTGTTTGTTTGTTTTTTGATGCTTTTGTTTCTTTGGTGCTTTTGTAAGGATGTTGGATTCTTTCACCTGGGTCTCATTATGCATTTCTAATAGGCTGCACATGTACTGCCTCTTGATATTCTGTCTTGTATGGGTTACTGTACTTGTTGTGTATGGTAAAATAAACAAAATTTACTGTTACTCTGCACTTCCTAATATTGGTTTTACTATCTCATAGTTTCTACAAGTTTATTATTTTTACACTAGTTGAAGCCTTTAACTGTACACACAAGGCAATTTCATGGATTACAAAAGGAAAAAGTGTAGTAGTAGGTCAGTACATAAAGTACATTAAGAAGACGTTAATTCAAACTGTTCCTTCTAGAAGGAGTCCTTGGGATGCTGAGTAAAGCTGTTCTATGCAGGTTAACTATCCAGTTAGGTGCTGAAAGAAACAGCAGTGGAAAACCTTCAGTGAGCAGAAGGATAGTAAGAGTCTCCATCTCTGTGTGGTGAATGCAAATTGTCTTCTCAAGTAGTCACTTGCTGCGATCAAGCTGTCTGCCTCCTTCAGTAGGAGGGAGATCCTTACACCTCTGGGCTTGGTGACATCTAGCCCTAGAAGTTCGAGTAAAGTATAAGGTTGTGAGAACTCTAAATGTTGAACTATTGAGAGTTAAAAATATTAACCAGTGGTGAGAGCTGATTATGTATCTTAATTCCGTAGTGCTGTAGGCATCAGAGCATTTGGTCACATTCAGCACTCTTAAGCATGAGAGCATGATGTGGAGATTCTGAGGCTTTGGTCACATGGCAGATGTGGCTTTTGTTGGGGTAGGCCTTAAAATCTTTGTTTGGATTAGAAGGGGAAAGGAGAAGGGGACTTGGGAGGCATTAATAAAGAGCCTATAATTGCTCAATTATAAAGCAATGTTAGGTGTGCTATAAATATGAAGTATAAGAATATGTTAGATGTAATATGGGTATGGCTCAGTGGAGGTTTGTTGTTGGTTTTTTGTTCCTTTTAAGTTACTTCATTTCACTTAATGGATCATTCTTTGTTTGTAATGGCTTTTAGAAGGAGTACTATATATTGACCTCAATATATAGAGATCAAGCCTCTTTTGTAAATAAAATGAGAGAAATAAGATTCTATTAAACTTTGTAATTCTTACAGATCACAAGTTGAATAAAGCCCCTTAATCTGACTTAATGTGTTCAGACGTATAAAGAAAACCACATCTTTTAGACCATGTGGCTCATGGAAGTAAATGCTGGCTCCATTCACTGTGAACTGTCCAAGGAAAGGAAGCTGGACTTGGAGCCAAGGACTCTGTCCTGGCAGCAAAGCTTTGCCAGCTGCTTCAGAACAGTTGGTGGGTCTGTTAACTGCTTTGGGTCCATCTTACCTGGCACCCTGAGGCCAGTGGTTTCACTATGAGAAGTAATTATACTGATCTAGAAATACAAATGCACTAGGCATTAGATTAGCAATAGATTTTGTTTTACATAGCCAACATTATCCCTTGAGATTTAGATATTTGTCATAGTTATTCCTTGGTGGCAGGAGGAAGGAGAGGAGTGAAGGGAGAGGGAAGGAGAGGGGGCAGTGCAGAGAGATGGACAGGTTTGGGTGGAGGAATGAGAACTCGATGATCTGTTTCTGGTGCCCTGAGAATGAGGGCACAGCAGAGCCCAGAGCCAGGTGGCACAAGGAGGTGTGTGTATTCTCGCTCTGTTACTCACTTTTTAACATGTGTGGTAAGCACTGACTCACATTTTTTCCATTTTGAGAGAAACTTGTAACAAGACCTTCCCATTTCAGTCTGCACCACCTTGAAACCTAAGTTTTTAGTAACAGAATATTGTAATAAGGGCAGCCTCACTTTGCAGTTTGTGATAGATTTTAAAAGAAAATGCTAATTCATTTTTCTTACATTTCCAAAGAAAATTTCTTCTTAAATGATTATTTTTTTTATGTACACCTCTAGATATTTTTTTTTTTTTTGGTTTGGGTTTATTAAAGATGTTTCAGGAAGTTGCTTTTTCCTGGAAATTTCTACCCCTTAATGAGAAAAGAAATATCTTCTCTCAGAAAGAGATTATCTTTTATTTGAATTTGAAAATATTTTTTCTACCTTCATACTCATATTTTTCATTTTAGTTAACATCTTTCCTTCATTGAGTATTTTTTGGGTGCTAGGTCTTGGCCAAGCAATAGTTCAGACCATAGGGCAGGTGCTGACAATTGAAATAACCAACTGAAATTTGAAAGTTTTGGGAAATAAAATCTAGTATGAAGTAGACATTCTTTTTTAATTGAAGTCACCCATTGTAGGATTTGTGTGTGTGTGTGTGTGTGTGTGTGTGTGTGTGTGTTCCTCGAATGCCTTCAGGGCACTTTTGGCCAGCGGGAGAGGTGTGAGGTTCGAACTCCAGCAACCTGAGGCTGACAGCTTTGTGGAAGCAGCCACTTAAAGGCCTGAGCTAGGGCCAGGCCCCCGAAGTCACCCATTGTAAAATAACGAATGTATGTGTGACAGAAGTATATATAGCAGCTCTAGAGTAGGTGCTGTTACTGCTTGATTAGTACAGTTAAGGGGAATCCCTGAGGTTGCAGAGGAAGGGTAAATGGCTGATGGTCAGTTTCAAACTCAGCACACCCACATTTCAGAGCTGGCAGTCTTCCTTGCGCCTCCCCAGAACAGCAAGTTTGAGCTAGTGTCCCCCAGGCGTTGCCCAGCAGCTGCTCTTCTATTGCCTACATTAACACATCCTTGTGAGCACAAAGTGGTGTAATTACACATAGACTGCAGGTTACCTATTAACTCTACTTCCACTTACTACCCTCGCTTCTTTCTCCTCTTCCTTTACTAGGGATAAAAAGATCAAGTGATTGTGTAAAATGCCCGAAAGAAAAAAAAAAACAAATTTAGGGATATTTTAGATTTTAACACAAGTTTGTTTTTCAAAGTAAGAGTGAATATGAGATTGAGAAGCACTAGTATTAGATGGCCCTACCATTATTTATTATTTATTTATTTTTTCTGCATGTGTTAAGAAACTCAGTTTGCTTTGCTCTTCTTCTTTGATGTTTTGAGAGAGTCTTGTTATATAGTTCAGGCTGAGCTTAAATTCACTGTGTAGCCCAAGTGGGGCTCAAACTCATAGCAGTCTTCCTGCTTCTGCTTCCTAAGTGCGGGGATTGTAGGTGTGCACCACCACACCTGGCAAAGGACTCAATTTTAAAAATTTCTGCTTTAAGGGGGCCTGGCCCTAACTCAGTTCTTGAAGTGGCTGCTTCCACAAAGCTGTCAGCCTCAGGTTGCTGTAGTTTGAGCCCCACAACTCCAGCCAGCCAAACCTGCCCTGAAGGCATTCGGAGCAAAAAAAAAAAAAAATCCTTAAAAATTTCTGCTTTAAGATTGGGCATGGTGGCATGCACCTGTAATCCCAGTTCTTGGGAGGCCTTCCCTAAAATAAAAAAATAAATAAATAAATAAATAAATAAAAAAATTAAAAAATTCTGCTTTAATTAGACTAGACTAATATATTTGAAGGTTACAAAGCAAGGTGGAGAATTTTGAATAAAATTTTCTTCATGGATGCTAACTGATCTTTACAACCTGTTAGGGATGATTCTGGCCCAGTGGTAAGATGGCTTTGTGCTTTTGAAATTCTCCATATGATATTTAACCTTGAATGAAACTGGAGATTTGATACAAAGTTGAGTGAAATTAAAAGCATTGTGTAACTTTTTGTACAGCTGCTGGAAATGAAACAGTGGCTTCCAAATAGTTAATTCTAGGCTACTTTCCAACAAAACTAAATTTCATCTAAATACAGATTGTAGAGAGGATCACATAACTAGATGGGATTTAAATGAGTTTATGTTCCTTGGCCTTTCTGCTACCTCAGAAGCAAGTCTTGGGTTTAAATCTCTGTTGCTCTCACTCTGTTTAATGAGTGCACTTTTTGTCGTTTTATTATGAAATAGAGCAGTGCTCAACCTCAAATTCAGTTCAGTGATTTTCACAAAATAGATCTCATGCTAGTCACTTCCTGGCTTTTCCTTGCATATTCTCACTGAAGCACAGGTAGTCAGCATGCAGCTAGAGTGAGGGCCAAGATCCCAGCTGCTGGCCGCAGGAAGAACATGGCCCTTTTAAGTGTAGCATAGGAACAGGGACTAATAATGCTAGCTGTGAATTTCTGAAATTTGTACTTTAACCACGTATGCCCTCATTCGGTAGATAGTATTGAATTCAGCTTGTGGATCTCATGTATAAGCATTTTATCACATTTGACTGTGACTTGGCTTCTGTTACCAGTTGGTAGTTTGTTGGTAGTTCCTACCAAAAATGAATGTAACAGTGATGAGTCTTTTGGTTGTAAGCAAATACCTTAATGTGTGTTAGCTCATTTTACAAGGGAAAATGCTGTATGGGTAGAAACTTCTTTGTAATCCTAGGGGAGGAAAGGATGCTGCTGACTGGAAAGGTACTAGGGATTGAGATAGTGTGTAGAAACCAAGGAAACCAGCAAACTTATTCCTCTCCCGTCCTATATGGTCATCTCTTCTTAAGGTCCTTTGTCTCTGTCTGCTTATATTTGTTTTTTTTTTTTTTTTTTTTTTTTTTTTTTGGGGGGGGGAACCAGCTTCCTCTGCATTGTTGCAGCTTCCACCAGGTCTCAAAAAATTCTCATGACATTTAAGTCCATGTGACTTTCTAGCCTAAGTGCCTACACTAGCTAAGCCAGCAACATGGCATCCTGATTGTAATCTGCCAGGGTAAGAATCTTAATCATGTGGTTTCTTCCTCCATTCAGTCCAGACAATCTGTAGATCACCATGAGGTTGGATGTGGGCGGTGCTCCACTGATCCTGTTATCATAGGATTTATGGCAGGAGTGGTTTATGGTGGTATAGTTCTTCCAGGGAGAGCTTTTTAGAAGGGTTTGAGGAAGGGCAAGTGGTGACTGAAGCTCTAGTTTCAAATTTAGAAAGATGTTTCTTTTCAGTATTTTAGGGAAGGGTCTACAGGGTGTTCAGGGTCTTACTACTAGATCAGACTCCTAGTGATTCTCCTGTTTACAGCCTCCCACATGCTGGGATCACAGGTGCACACCACCACACCCAGTCTCAATTGATGTCTCAGTGAGCCCCAGGGGTGGGGCCAGCATGGCAGGCCTGGGGATCAAACCCCAATTCACTGAGCTGTTTGGCCAGCCCTTAGAAAGATGTTTCTTTTTCTTCTTTTTCAAATATGGCGCTTCATATGAAGAGAACTAGCTAATTCCTCCTACAGTCCTTTAACCAAGATTTCAGTCATTATTGTAGAATAGAGGATGTTGATTACATGGATCTTTCTTGTTTTAGACAAGTCCAGAGATGTTTAAATATTTTACTGATTCTCTGAACTTGATAAATGTCAAGACAATTACACATACAGAGCAAAAGTAGATTTGAGGAGCTATAGTCAAAACACATTGCCATTGGTAAGAACTGAATCTTTGAGAAAGTTAAAATATGAACACGAATATTTATTTATTTTAGATTTTGGGTGATTATTGATGTTATTAGATATTAGCAAATCAGTAATAATTTCTTTAATAAGATATACATGAAAGCTTTTTGAGTAATATTTATATTTTTGTCAGAATGGAGTATCTTGGATAGAATTTTTCTAGAATATTCCTTATATACAAACATGTAAGGTGACAAAAATAGTTGTAGATTGATGCATTATGTGATTTTATATCACAATATTCTTAAACTGATAGAGAAGACAGCCATGGTTGAAAGAACAGTGGAGGGCAACTCTTTCAAATAACCCTATTTCTTCACACTTCTCTCTCTCTGAATTCCCAGTTTAGAACAGGAAACATTTGTGGAAGATAGTGCAGGTTCCATGCCTTTTCTACTTGGATGAATTATTTCACAGACTTTTTACAAGACGCAGTAAGGTATAAAATACTAGCATTCCTAGTTTTCAGATCAAAACATTAAGAAACAAGGAAGTAATTTGGTCCTTTGATAGGTGAAAAAGTAGGCATTTAAATTCAGCTGTGTATACCTCTGATAACTTGAGCCTTTAGTCATCCCATTAATGTTTTGATTTTTTTTTAAAGTTGGAAATTAACCACTCATATTCAAAGCTTTGTGATAAATTTGGAGCAAATATTTAAATATAATTGAGAATGTACATCTTCAACTATTTTTTGTATTTTACCCACAAGGAAGTTTACCAAAAAAGAGCTGTGCCAGTGAACAGAGTTGTAAGTACATAGGGACAGTATCAGCAGCATGCTGTGATGTGAGATCTTGAGCTTGTGAGGTGATCTGCTGTGGGAGATGGCTTAGATAGATGGCCTGGAACTGGAGCAACGGTGAACTGCCTTGTCTTTGAGTGGAACATGGATTTAATAAGGCTAAGGTCAAATGTTACTTGATTGGCCTTTTAAGAGCATTTAGTTTAATCAGATGAAGTGTCTTTAGTACAGAACACATACTGTTACTGCTAAGGAGTAATGTGTTTTTTTTAAAATCACTTGTCACATGGGTGATTTATTTTGAAGCTTACTTGTTCCACCTTGGAAACCAATACAGACACAAAGCTGATTGCAGGGGCTTCTCATTCTGTGTGTGTGTGTGTGTGTGTGTGTGTGTGTGTGTGTCTCCTTTTTTTGAGGGGAGGTGATGAACGAGTTAGGAATAGCAAAGATCCAATTCCATTCTTGTTTCTGCGTTGACCCTGGGTGAATCATTTAACTTCTGACCTCAGTGTGATATACTTACAGATCCAGGTGAATTCGTGTTCCAGTTTTCACATGCTATATCACTGTAAGGTTGTATTATTAGCTCTAATAGGGATGGGGGGGTGCTGCCCATTAGCTCAGTTGTTTAAGCGCCTGCTCATGCAAATGTAGTCAGGTGCAGGGTACCTTGGTTTGATCCCCACCTCTACCTGCATTGCCAGGCCTGCCCTTAAGGCAGCCAGAGCCTGCAAAAAAAAAAAAAAAAAAAAATCATTCTAATAGGGTTTGGGATTAAATTGGCTAACGAACAAAAGTAAATTACGTTGTAATAACTGTGATCCCCTGTACTTCAAAAAGTAGATAATTATTCGTGGCACCAAAAGGATAAATCCTGTAGGAAGCTATTTTGTTGGCTTTTTCAGTGTTGAATCACTATATACTAACTTCATTTCTATCTTTTTTAATGCTGCCTCTTAAGTATACGCTCCATTCAACATTCAATTAGCATGCCTGCTATGAGGTAAAGTATATTTCTACCAAATGTACTTGGTCTTGTGCTTGTGCTTTGTTTACATATTTAACTGAACTGTTCGGAAGTAGCAAACTAGTATTCTACTCCAAACAAGCAGTGTTTGATGGTATACCAAGTTTCAGTTGCTCTTACAATAGTGGCCTGGGTAAACAGATGCATTAAATATTTGTGAGTTTTAATACAAGAACTGTTTCTATTTTACTTTATAAAAACTGTCATATCTGAAGTGTTTCGTTGGCAAGTGAACACTGCTCCCTACTCAAACCTTTTCTTTTGGTCAATACAGGTAGTTCATCTCTTGTTTGCATTATCCTTACTATGGTCTCCATTAATTCCATCTTTTGCTTATTCCACTATGACATTTGAAACCACTTGTGATTTAACAGGAGTGTTGGATTTCGGCAGTGAGCACTTGCAAGTGGTTCATGTTGTTACATCACTCATCCTCCCAGAGAAACAGAGAGTCTCTAACAATATGTGCTTGGCTTAGACTCCTGTGTACACTGGAATCACCTGGAGGGCTTGCTAAAAGAATTGCCAAATGAGAAATCATCCTTCCACCATTTTATTGAAAACAAGCGTTCCAATAGAGTAGAGACTTGGTTCAGAACATCTGAGAATTAGATTATGTGGAGTTGTTTGGGGGATGAAAATCAAGAGGTGTAATGAAGCCATTCTTTTCTTTTGGCATTTGGGCTCCTGGGTGCAGATGCATGATGTTTCCCCAAGCCAAGTGGGTGCTGCCTGCTAGAGATTTGCCAGCTAGAATCAGAAAGCTTGCAGTAGAACCAGAGCCCTGCTCATTTTCCCAGCTCCAGGAGACAGGCTGCAGATAACACACTGGGATTTTATGGCTCTCACAGCTCTGAAGTGTGGCTGTGCACCGCCTCAGAGGGCTACATTTGTATATCTTCTTACCTGGGAAGAAAAGTGTCTTGGAGGTAACCCCAGTTGCAGGGCCAAAAGTTGCCACTTTTTCTGTCATACTGAATGGTCACAGCAGAAATTACAAAGTCTATTAAAAAGTTAAATTTGTGAAAAGAAACAAGAATAGATTAAGGAAAACCACAAAAAGAAAAGATCTGGATCAGGAATATGAAGTGCTTAATACTTTCTAGAAGAAAATGGTATATGGAACTTCTCAATGGAGAAAGTCAAGTTGGGGTAGTTAGATTTATTTATGGTTACCATCAAATTAAGAGTGCTCTCAGGAAGGGGTATAATACACTATCTCATGCAGTGCAAGATACCATTGAATGTGAGATGCATCAATTTTTATGTTCCACTAAGAAGAAAAAAACTAATCATAACTGCATAATAATTGCATTTGAACACAAAGTCCATAAATTTTAGAATCATAAAATGTGATAATTAAAATTAAAAAAATTCTGCTTGCTGGACCCACCCCTAGTGTTTCTGATTTTGCAGAGCTGGGGAGGGGCCAGAGAATTTGCATTACCAATGATACAGATGGTCTGGGAGACACTAGAGAACTTCTGGCTATAGTACTCAGCTATCACCACTGGAGGAAGGAGGAAACTCCATGCTCCCTTCTTTGTCTTTTTCATCTTGGCAGGATATTTGAAGCCAGGTGAATAGGATAGGAACACTGGAAGCCCATGTGTGAGAATCAAAAACACTGTAAACATCCTTAATGTGGACGGATTTGAAGGTGGTTGTGAAGCTTCTGTATAGGCTCTGATTCCTGTTTCTGTCAGCCAGGGAAACTTGAGAAGTAGCAAAGCCAGCTTTGTGTCCAGGCTTCCCTATGATCCCTATCTCCCCATCCATGTCCATAATGCTGTCTGGTAGGGACTGGGAATCCCAGTTACAAACCATTATCCCGCCGATGGTTTGCTTGACGTCTCAACTTGGTGGTTTGGGTTCATGTCTGAATCCTGTCAGGCAAGATCTGACGCTAAACAGGAGTTTTAGAGCATAGCATCTTAACCAAAAAACTGATCTGATAGTGTCATTTTCTTGTATCATGACAAATTGTTTGGGGAAGAGATGGAATTGATGAATTGGTGTTTTACCTGGCTTTCTTCACTCTTTACACAGTACTTCTTGTTCTATGTCACTTTTATCTGAGGATGTCTTCATGAATTCAAAGGCAGATTTAGACAAATAATAGCTCAAAGGTGGATAGTGTTACATTATAAATGTTTGTATATTTGCAGATAAATGTAACAGTTTTTTTTGCTGGTTGACAGTGATGGTGAAGAATTAGTCAACTAGTGATATTTACACAATTGTTGGAATTTTTCACTTTGTAATTTTATCACTTTTGTCTCCACAGAAACTCCCCAACTTTCAAGTCATTTGAAGAAAAGGTTGAAAACTTAAAGGCAAGTATAGAGATGAATAAAGCTTTTGCAGTACATTGCTTGGTGCCTTAACATTTCCTTGACATGGGAAAATCACTCACCATCAGTATTTTTTTAAAAAATGTAAAGAACTATAAGAACTTTATGACATTAATGAGCATTTCAGGGATTATGTACAATTTTAATTAATCTGTTTGAGCATGTGCTGTAGCACACTAAATAAATACTGAAAGGTACAATTTTAGAAACCAGTAATAATTTAGAAATTTGAGCCTTTTGCTTTTATCCATTTTGAATACCTTTATAATTTATTGTAACTTTATTGGAGACAAAAATGTAGAAAGTACAGAAAACAAAATATGGTCTCACTGCCCAGAGATAACGATACATAGAGTAGTACTATGCTGTTATGATAGCGATATATAGAGAGAGTAGTACTATGTTGTTATGATTTTAAAAATAATCGGGGGCTGGAGGTGGAACTCAGTGGTACAACACTTGCCTAGTGTGCATGAAGCCCTGGATTCAATTCCTACATTGCAAGAAGAGTAAAAGGCATGCATCAAAACATTTTCCACTATCATGAAATGTTCCCTATTGTGTTGAGTGGATTTTTGTGTAGGTCTTATAGTGGACTGTGTTTGACCCTCAGTGATAGACACTCTGCTGTTACTATATTAGAATGAAGCCATGATGCTTGTTCAGTTTTAATTATTTGTATATCAAAATTACAATATATTCAAAAGTACAAAATCATTATCTCTTAGTAATACAGGGGATGTTGGGTTCCCACCCACTAGCTGACCCTCTCTACAGCTTGTGTAAAGCCCAAATACTAGTTTCTTCCCAACCTAACTGATGATTACAGTGGATATATTTTAAAGATTAAAACTAATAAAACTTTTTAGATAAATACTTTTATATAAATGAGCTTGAAAGCTAATATTCAGTTGACTCTTTCAAAACTATAAACAATTCACTGGTTTTCAAATTCATGTTTTTAAAATTAGAGGCAAGCTATATTTATTGAAAGAAAATCAAATGCTGTACAGTGATCTAGATCTTTTATTTGCCCATACAAACATTAGCACACTTTTTCTGTTTGTGCACACACATATAAGTGCTTCTTTGAGTTAGACTGCACACACAGGGGGCTGGGGAGATGGCTCAGTGGAATAAGTGCTTTCCTGGCAAGCGCAAGGGCCTGAGTTCAATCCCCGGTTCCGCCAAAAACAAAACAAAACAAAAAAACAGTGGCCTATAGACTGCACACACAGCCTTTTAGCTTATTCAGCCCCTTCCATGGCATGATCCAAGGTGAACCTATGGATTGGAGAGGCAGACCTACTTTGCTTACTGATACCTCTCAGAGGCCTAGACTGTCATTGGCACACTGTTCATATGTGCTTGATGAATAAAAATTTACCTATTATTCTTCTGTATAAGAGACCTGTTTTATTCTTCTTAATGCCAAGTCATATACTTGAAAACAAACTGTTTACTGCAGAAAGTTAAGGCTTAGCGTAACTAACTTCTCAACATTGTTAGGATTCTCATGTCCTCAACTGGACATCTTTCCTAAGCATTAGTCTTTGAAATGGCTAGCTGGAAGTCAACCCATGTTCAATTTTGATAGTAGAGCTGAGGAGGAATCTCTAGTCATTTGCTGTATGTTCTCTTTCTGAACATATTTAGACTCTATAATTGTGGTATTATAAAAGTATACTTTTATAATACAACATGTAGCAAGATGTGGTGACACACATTTGTAATCCCAGAAATCTAGGAAGCTCAGGCAAGAGAATCAAAAAGTTTGAGCCCAGCATGCGCAATTTAGTGAGATCCTGTTGCAAAAACAGGTGTGGGTATGTAATTCAGTGTAAAAGCCATAGGTGCAGTCTCTAAGACTGCCTGTGTGTGTGAATCATTCAGATAAAAAATAATTTTATAGGGGGCCTTCCCCTTAGCTCATTTCTTAAGTGGCTGCTTCAACAAAGCGGTCAGGCTCAGGTTGCTGTGGTTCGATCCCCACAACTCAAGCCAGCCAAGCCTGCCCTGAAGGCATTCGGAGCCAAAAAATAAGAATAATAATAATTTTATAAATATAGTACAGCATATCAAACATTCTCAGAGAAACTGCAAAATACAGTTGTATGCTTGGGGTATGATTTTGCCAATTTACACTTATATTCAATTAAGCACTATATTGTCCTATATACTTTTACATTTTGGCTTGCTTTATCTGTGTTACTGAACATTTGCTATGCCAGTGAAAGCTGAGGATGTGGTAGGAACCTCATCTTCCTTGGTAGGAGGAGAAGTCAGGGAAGGCCTCTTAGAGGACCTAGTAATAGAAGTGGACATCTTTAAATTGTGAGGAATGTTTGATTGAAGACCCTTTTGGGGAATAGGGATTTGGAGTTAGAGCAGTGGGAAACCGTTAAAGGATTTCAAACAGCCTGAGGAACCCTTTCCTCTGTGTTTTAGCGAAGAAAAAAAAAAAGGACCACTGGCAGCCAAAGGAAGGACAAGTGTGAAGACAGGCAAATTAATTGGGAAGTGAGAGTTTTAATCCCAGCCAAAGATAGTGTTGGAGAGAATTGGGGTAATGCAGTGGGACAAAGTGTGGCAGTATCCAGAAATTAGAGGACAGAATTAAAGTGATTAGATGTGATACAAGATGGGGCAGGCTCCAAAACAACTTCAGGTGTCTGGCTAATACAAGTCTGTAAATACTACTGTCATGTAAATTCTTTAAAAGGAATACAAGGAACTGCTTATGGGGACAAGTTTAGCTTTAAATATGTTGAAGAGCAAGGTGTCTTTTTTTTTTATCTTTTATTTTTTGGCAGAACCGGGGATTGAACTCAGGCCCTTGTGCTTGCCAGGCAAGCATGCAAGGGGTCTTTAACAATTTATTATGGAATATGTTTTACCAAGAACAATGTATGCAAATTAGGCGAATTTCTCAATTCTAAGGTTTTGGATGGGAGAATAATAAGAAAATTTTAACTAGATTCTCATTCTTGGGACTCTAATTGGTTAGGACTGAGTTAAGAGTAAAGTCAAGTTCAAAACTGCTAGAGCTTCTTTGCAACCTTGGTTACTGACTGGTTTTTTAATGTTGGCTGTCCTGTAGGTCAGTCATAACATGGAACCCAGTGAGTGAGCCCACATATATCAGTACTGGAACATGCAGAAGTGAAGTTGTATTAAGGAGGTCTTGGGGCCAGCCAGGTAGCTCAGCAGTCTAAAGCGTCTGCTTAGGTAGGCTCAGGGACCAGGGTTCAGTCCTCACAGTGCCATGCGGGCCCTGCTCCAGGGGCACACTGAGACCTCAAATGACACAGTGGTGGCACACGCCTGTAATCCCAGCACTTCAGAGGCTAAAAACAGGAGGATCAGTACAAGTCCAATCTGTGTAGCGAGACCCTGTATTGAAATACATAAAAAGGTGGGGGGGGGGTCATCTTGAAAAATCTGAAGTACACAAATATTAGATGTATTCATTTTAACAAATAAGTTGCTGACAGAATTTCAGGCTAGACATGGTAGAAGGAGTGCTGCTTGTACAGTGCACGTGAATTGCCTGGGCATCTTGTTAAGAGTGTAGGTTTCGGTTCCATGGGGCATGGAGGTAAGTGTCTTGAGAGGCTTCATGTCTAATTAAATCTGCAGTCCTTGAACCCCACTTTAGTAAATGGCTTGAAAGTTTATACTGTAACTGGGAAAAAGATGTCCTTTTTCCATTTGCTCACCAGTAGTTCTTGAATGAATGTAGCTGAGTAAACACTTTGATGCAACGCAGAATGTTGATCCAAGCATCGAGAGTTCAGTAGCTATTTTGAAGTAATAGGTTTTACAAAGTTCTTGAGACAGATTTTCCTATTAAAGACAATTAGCAGACCCCACTCTATAAAGATTTCAGGAAGCAGAGTTGCACTCTTTTAGTAACAAAGCACCCTGTACATTACAGCAGTACTAACTTCCATGTCTGCAATGATCACTGAGCTATCAGGTTCCTGATTTGTTATTGAAGGTAAAATTAGCAGAGTCAGCTAATTTTGATTCTTGTTCTTTTCATTCTTTTTTAAGTCTAAAGTAGGGGGAACCAAGCCTGCTGGCGGTGATTTTGGAGAAGTTTTGAATTCAGCTGCAAATGCTAGTGCCACCGCCACGGAGCCGCCTCCAGAACAGACACCGGAGAGCCTGTGAGATTGCTACCTTTGTTCCACTACCCACTGCCAGATGCTGCAAGCAAGATCCAAGCACATCTTGTCAACATTCATTGCTATGGATTTCTACCAGATGTGCTTTTATTTAGCTTTACATATTTCTTTGACCAAATAGTTTGTGAGTTAAACAAAATGAAAATATCTTCACCTCTACTCCTAGGAAACATCCTGAATATGTATTCAAGGCCCTACATTTAGGGAAATACTATTATGCAGACAGAGGTAGTACCTGGAGGCACTTGCTAGAATGATCTGAGAAGCTGAAGATGATTATAGTTGCTTTTCCTACTTTACAAAATTGCTCTGCATCTGAGATGCTACTTGGATCTTTGTCTTCTAGATGATTTTTTCCCCCTTCTTTGACTCTGTATATTTGATTGCTAATTCAAATTGTTGTTTTAATTTTTCTGAATCTTGGTTATTAAAAGTTTCTCTGCTGTTTTATTTACATTTAAGTGAAGAACTTACCAGCTACAAAAATTTTGTTTCTGAATAAACTGTTTTTGTATAAGGTACTTATCTTGGGTGTGTGAAGATACCAGAATGAAGTAAAGAACTTTAAATCCAATTTGTTATAGTTGTGTAACAGTATGTACAGTAATTCCAACTACTGGGTGACTTGGGAGTGGGACCTCCCCATATCCTTAACTGCCATTTATGACTATAACCATTTTAGCATTATTGTTATTATGCCACTTATATCAATTTTTGACAATACTAACATTTTAATTTCAGAGTAAATGGACAGTTGACCAAATAATAAGTCAAGCGTATCAGTAGGTTTAAATATGATTGTGCTTATCAATGTTTTATTCAAACACCTGAACTATTTTAGGTCTTGATGGATGTAAACATGGCAAGATCAATTACATTAGGGAAAGTATTCTTATCTCCATTTAATCTATTTAGCACCTTTTAAAAAAGCACAGTTACATGACATATAACTTGAACATTTTTATATTAAGGTATTGCTGATAACTCCAGAGGGTGTGATTTATTTATAAAAATCAATTCATCATTCCCTACTTGTTTGCAGTGTTGGAAATGGTACCATAGACACTGTTCCTGTTTTAAAAAATGATACCCAGGCTAGTGAATCAAATCCTCTGCATAGAGGCCAAGGTACTTTGATAACTACTGACTTATCTCCACTACCATTTCCTTATGCTATACATTTATAGCCTATAATGCTATCTGTTATGTATCAAGTTGTGACTGTTTTATTGTTTATGCCAAATGTTAACTGCCAAGCGTGGAGTCACTTAGGGCAATTTTTTAATAGCATGACTAGATTTACTTCAAGATAAATTCTTCTAAAAACCAAATTTAAAAAGCAACAATGTTGATTGTTATGAAATGACATGCTGCCATTCTTGACTGCTAGAGCTTTTGTTAGCACTTTAGATGCAACTGAAACTATGCTCAATTACATGTGCAAAGCTTAATAAATTCTGCGTATCAGTAGTATAGGTCTCAATATTTATTATGAGGCTAGTGTTCTGGAAACAGCTTATTGTTTAAAGAGTCATCCTGTGTCTAAACTTTTATTTTATTTTGTCTTTCTGAGACAGATCCTCACTATGCAGTTCAGGCTGGCCTTGAGCTCACTTTGTGCCCAGGATGGCCATGAACTTGAAACCATCCTCCTGTTTCAGCCTCTTGAGCGCTGGGATTACAGGCATGTGCCACCAAACCTGGCTAGTGTCTATACTTTATCACAGTATTTTACTGTTGTTTTGCCCCAGAGCAGCAGATCTACAGAAATTTGTCATTTTGTAGAAATACTGTGGTTATTTAACAGAGCTGTTATTTTTTTCTACCAAGGAGGGTTTTTTGTTTCAATATCATCTCCTTCAGAGTGTTTCTTGGTTGTCTTGCCATATTTCACTAATGGAAATTTCTTTAGGTAAGAGAATTATCTTCAAATTTGTTTTCCCACCATGTGAAGAAAAATGATAAAGACGGATGTGGGAAGTGGGATGGGTCTAGGTAATTATTAGGAATGGGTGTAAAAGAAATGAGAAACTCTCTTTCCCAGATACTTTCCTAATGTAAAAGTTGTTTATTATACAGTACTCTGTCTGCTCTAAGAAGTAAAAAGAGGATGAATTCAGGAAAATAGTATGGACTTAAAAATACACCCAGTGCTCTTTATGGCAGGATTGGTATTGTGAATTCAGACATTTCAGAAATTTGAAAGTGATTAGAACTACGAGAAAGTGACCCTAGCTACTCTGTTTTGTGTTTAGTGCTACATGAGAGAGAAATCTAACATTTATGGAATCTCTGTTTAAGGAGTCAAAAATTGTAACAAGAAAATACCTCCTTATGCAAAGCACTATGCTTAAGTTATGAAGTTTGGGGGAAATAAGCTTGAGATAGTCATCAACTGGATTATCCTAGCAACTCAAATTACTGAAATATAGAAGACACACCTTTAATTTGGATCATTTGTGGATCTGTTAAGATATACATGGTGTATTTTTTTGTATAGCATTTTAAAGGAATAAAAATTCTATAATTTGGGTATGGGTTATTTTTTATGTATTACCTGTCTGTTGAGGAAAGGGGTAAGTCTATTCAGAAATTTTTCTCCAAACCCTTCATATCCTGGTTATGTAAAGATCCATAAGTAGCTGTGTTGATTTGGTGTAATAAGCAAAAATGAAAAACAAAAGACCCCCTACATTCTGGCTATTAAAATGCATGTATTAAGTGACTGTTTGCTGCATATGTTCCAAGGATGTACTGAGTAGGACATTTTGTCAAGACCACATGCTTCTTACAGGGTTTTTTTTTTTTTTTTCAGACTTGCTATTTAGCCCAGGTTGGCCTTGAACTCAGAGCAATCTTTCAGCCTCGGCCTTTCAAGTGCAGAGGTTATAGGTGTGCACCACCATGCTCGGTTTCATACAGGTTTTAAAAGCCAGATGAAAAAAATCAAGTTTTTGCCCATATTGAAGACATTTGGTCATTGATTAGTCATTTGTAATGACTATGCCACTGTAAGTGAATTAGTTATAGAGACCCAGAGTGGGTCCCAGTATAAAGCATCATCATCAGGAAACATCACAATTCTATATTGCTTTGATGCTGAAATCAAAATAAAGCAGAGGGCTTTTCATTCTTGATGTGTTAGGCCCAGAGGGCAGGGCCTGCATATGACTGTCACCTGCTAGCACTTCGTCAATAAATGCTGTTTGGTGACTACAATTCTTGCCAACTCTCTATACTTTTAATGTTACTGAGGTTGGTTGACATTGTGATTACTATAATTTTCTACCATGCAGTAAAAGCGAAATAAAATTTTGTTTGAATACATATTTGGAGGACGATAATGATTTTTCATTTTGATACTTCATGCATGAACATTTTCCTAAATTTCTTAATTGTGCTATTTTCCAACTTGACTTTAATACTCTTCAACTGCTTAAATGATACAACCTATTCTCAGTCATCATCTACATGGTACCCTCAATGATCTTACCATTTGCATGGCTGAAATTACTGAAGACTGTAGTGTCTGTAGATCTTTCTAACAGACTTGACAGTTGGTTAAGAAACATGAATTTCTAATCATTTCCTGGTTACTTACCTATCCACCGATAGCCTCTTTTTCTTTTTTGGCTGGCTCAGCCTGCCTTGACGGTGAGGCTGGAACAGTATGTGCCAGTGATTGAACCACAGTCCTCTGTACCTGCCTAACCTTGCCTAGGCAGGCACTTTAGACTGCTGAGCCATCTTGCTGGCCCCCACAGCCACTTCTGATTGAGTGCCCAGACATTTTACTGTAAATTCTCAGGTATATGGTGATGTCACAATTTTATAGATGAGATTTTCTGTTGCCTTGCCCCCTGCAATACTTTTGCCATGTGTATTAACAACCTGAAAAACAACAAACGAGAAAGGAGGCCTGTATCTTTAGTAAAGCAAGAAGGTGCAGGTAGAACAGTGTTAGAATCCTTGAAGACATGAAAACACTGCAGCACAGCTATGTTCTTGTGTTTGTGTAAGCAAGAAAACCTGTAGATCTTCTCCCTTGTTGACTTGATGTAATTTTTTTATTTTTCTGGGCCCTGGAATCAAACTTAGGACCTCATTCTTGCCAGGCAGGCACTGTACCCACTGAGCTATGTCCCCAGCCCATCACTGTCAACTTTCACCCCTTATTTGAGACTTCTGGTGCTCTCCAAAGGCAGAAAACCCCTAACTTGAAGTCAGCTGACAACAAACTTAATTCCTGTTTTAATTCTGGTGACTTTGGCATTTTAAAAAAAGTGTTTAATGTCAAAGTAACCTTCAATCTCAAGTAAAACTGAAAGCTTCAACCAAGTACATGCAGTCCATCAACATAAACAATACAAAAATTAAGGGGAAAAAACAGGCCAGGTGTTGTGGTGCAAGCCTGTAATCTCAGCACCTGGGAGGTTGACAGGAGGTTTTGCGGTGAGTTCAAGGCTATTGCACTATAGTGAGACCAACTCAAAAAAAAAAAAAATCCCCTAAATGCCTATTGTCAAAGTCCTTAAAGAGCTATCATTTGGCAAAGACAGAGTGTTACATATTTACTGCATTTTAGATCCAGGACCTTAGTAACCTCATCTATCTAGTTTATAGTGAAATAAATTCACGAAGCACTTCCTTAAATGTAGTGCTGTGGTAAAAGCTTGGTTTTGTAAGTGAGAAAACCAAACCAGCAACATGAAATTATCTTGCCTAAAGTCAGAATTAGCCAGGACTCTAAGTCAGGGCTCTTAGTTTGCAGGCCATGCTCTTTACAATTTAGCACTTTTTATCCTGAAAAAAGTGAAAGCACCAACAGCCACAGTGTAATCTCAAATTGTAGGCAGGAGTCCATTAAAGTCCAAGGGAAACAGTTTAAGTCCCAAAAGCGGAGAACTCTACCTTAAAGGCTCCACTGCATTTGTGTTCTGTACAATGTCTGCCACACAGGTTGAAAGCATAAGACATCTAAATCCATTACAAAAGCATTATTTCTGGGGTTGGGAAGATAGCTCAGTAGAATAAACGCTTGCTTGGCAAGCGTAAGGGGCTGAGTTCAATCCTGGGTTCCACCAAACAAAACAAAACCAAAAAAGCATATTTCTAACATAGTGTCTAAGATTTCCTGTTCTCTATTTAAAATTTATTAGATATAAAGCATCAAATGAGTAATTTTAGCTACAAATTTAGCTAATTTTTAAAGAAACTAAAGAAAACTTTAAATTTTACCATATTATTTACAAACATTTATTAATCACATTAGTGTCTCCTTAGTACGGACTATAAAGGAATAGTACAGTGTACATGTAAGACAAACATGAAAACATACCTTGTCAGAAGACAGTAGTTCACTTGAAAGTAGAATTTATCCACCCTGTACTACTTACCTATAAGTTAAGTGTTCTCAGACAGTGTTTAAGAAGAAAACATGAAAAGGTGCCTCATTTATAAGAAAAAACACCACAGCCCCTTGTGTGTCTGCACCCTGGGTGACACTGGAATAAACTGCTTCCACAGATTAGTGCATGTTAGTACTGAGGAGTGAGATTAAAACTTGTTACTGCTCATATGTTTTCCATCGTCTACGAAGATTTGGAAGGAAAAAGAAGGGTTTAATAGTGCATGGCAACTGGCCATTAAAATTGTAGTCAAAGTCACTCAAGAAGTACCTGATTTGAAAAAAAAAATACTTTATGAAATTTGTAAGTGACTAGACACTTATGAATAAATTAGAATTTCAGAAGTCACCCTGAATGGATTCATATTTATCACTCTTGGTACAGAGTCTCAATAGTATAGATGTATAAGCCCAAACTTTTAATGTACCTGAGAAAGGAAGTATGCTTTTGTTGTCTTCTAGTGATCAAAGCTATTACATTGAACATCTTTCTCAAGATTTTTTTTTTTTTAACAAGCTCTTAACCCTGCCACAGGCATATCAGAGGAAGGGCAGACCAGACCCATGACTGCTCTGTGGACACAGCATATGGTACGAAATAGACATATGCAGCCAGGTGACTCCTTCCAGTATTTGTGCAGCTTGCCTATTGTAAGAGTCTTAGCTGTGCCTTCATTGCAAATTCTTCATGTGCTGTTGAGGAGACCTGAGAGCAGAGAAAGTGCCTTTGTTTGAGAGAAGGGAATCATTATTTGTGTCCCATTTTCCACTCACTTCAAGAGATTGCCTTATTCTCACATTCATTAAGACAGTCATTTAAGAGTGAACATTTGTATTACTCCAGGGATAAAGACTCATCACTGTGGGTGACC